GACATATATTTGTAATTAATTTTGTATCCGTGTCTTCTATGTTATATAACTTTCTATACCACAACGAGACGCCGACATGTTTGCAGATGCGAAGGAAAACGGGCTAACATTTAGCGCGTGTTAAAAAAAGAATCGATGATCGATAAAAAAAAACCGTTTTTCTTTCCCATAGTGATATTTAATTTTTATCCTCACGATGTTATCTGTGGGACACGGCGAGAGTTAACGACGTACTTAGATCTCTTAGAAAGGGATCCATCCACGCCTCGGAATTGAAAGAAAGATGGTAGTAGGAGAAACAAGTTGCTATTCCCACGCTGCGCCTGTTCGGGATGCTACAAGCACTTTCGCTATCCAACCTTATCGAAGCCGGTGCATTGCGAAAGGCAGGTAATAGGTTCGCGATTGTAAGTACTTTTTGTTTGGCTCGGACTCATGCTCGAAATCTTTTCACGAAGTGAAACGTACGAACACGATAATGGTAAAGTGATCAGGTAATTATCGTAAGTACGAATTGCTCTTAAGTTGTTGTTTTGGTTAATAGAAACAAATATTGACAATTTTCTGACAAAAATCAAAAATTCAATTACTACTTGCTCGCATCGTGTACACACACTTCGCCCAATAGATCGATCGGGAAATCATTTAACATTTTTCGTTTTATCTACGCGAGCATCGGTCGAAATAATATTCCAACGACTGTGGAAAATTATATCGAGTCTTTCTCTCGTGCTTCGTATCAATGATCGTCTCGGAGAAAATCTCTTTCAACTTCCCGCTTGGAGGTGACGTTGAAAAAACGAGAATAAAAAACAATTCCGTTCGTTTTGTAATCAGTCTTCTCGTAACCGTCGTAATGTCACAGTCTTTCACCACGGTGCACCTGAATATTGCGGCTCTACGCTTCCAGCACCTGTTCCCACCTTGACACCTGATGGAGCCTTCTCTCGTGCTCGCTTGTCCGTAGGGGTTCGAAAGCACATCGCTTGTCCACGCAATGCAGTCGATGCCGGCGATCGGCGCGCCAGTGATGGCCGATGCGCGTTACGCATAATGCAAGACACATTTTGCAAAATTGCGTCTGTAGTTTCAGTTTTATGACCGTTCATTTATTTACTTGCATTACATACATTACATTCTAACGTTATTTTCAGCCATATGTACAAATAACAGATCTGCGAACATTTTTTAACTGTTCTATGTTATAACGGATTTTCGAGCCCTCATCATTCTACATTCATTAGAAATGTTAATAATTTAATTCAATCAAGTAAAACAAGAGGCTGTTAAAGCCAATCGAATTATTTTATATATATAATCTAAAATATCATTCACTATTACAAACGTTTCGATCTATACACATGAGGTCATTATAAATGTTACAACAGCTGGTGATAAAAATGGTACAAAATTTACAATTGCATATAGGTCGAAAAATTTATTTGTAATTATACATATATATAATTTTGGATTAGCATTAAAGTTCAATTAATTCAAGTAGCGCCTTGTTTTATGATTAATTTTTAATCATATGAGCCATTATTTTTCATTTCATTGTTTTATAATTTAATTAATTTAGATAGATAATTTTAATAGTAACTATTTAATCGTAATAGAAATTCCTTCTATTGCGCCAAGAGATTGACAACCATACATACACGGCCGCATTCCCATCTCGATATACTTTTTTCTATATTATAAAACCGACCAACGTACTTCGTCAATAATATTTCAACGTGAACATAATTGAAGTAAAGATTTTGTAGAAGAAAAATAAGACCGCCTTTATTTCACATAAGTTAATGTTGGGAAACAGAGATCACATATAGATAATTATAATAGATGAAGAATTGTTTTATGGCAAATCTAGGGCTACAATTTCTTATCGAGTCCACCATTGTTAGCATAAACTATAAATATAAACAATATGAGTGATTAACAAAATATTCTTCGTTTCTAGTAGCCGCCTTTAATAAATCCGACATATTTCTACGTGGAACCTAAAATAATAAAATTACGTTTATATACGCGCGTAAATAAAAAGTAGAAATGTCATTATTAATGACAGACAAACAAACAAAAAAACAAGAAATCGCATTTTAAATTAATTAGCAATAATTAGTGTTAATTAATGAATTAATAACGAGCGCTCACCACCAATGCATTCCGGACTTTTACAAGGTGGTTTAGTTGCTGTGTTGTGAATTGCGTAACAATTCACGTCACATTTGTAGCGTAAGACAGGATTGCCGCATCCAGAGCAATCGGGCTGCACGCTTGGAAACTACGATTATATTACATCATCTTTTAATATATAAAGAATATATTTCTGACTCGATACGGTATGTCTACCTGTGCGCCAGTTTGTTGAATGCAAAGCCACTGATTGTACGCGCAGCCACCTGCGGCTCCGAATCCTACTCCGTACGTAATTTGCGGTACTAACGAGATTTGAGGTACTATAGGAAGCGATGGTACTGATCCAGGGTAACAGGGGGGACTACCAGGACGACAAGGACCTCCGGGTGCTGTAAATCGGAAACGAGGCCGACTTTGTTGTAAAATGTTCTTCGTCCATTCAATTGAATTTTCAGGAAAATTATATCACTAGATTCTATGTATATTAATAAACAGAGGATAATTTTTGACTCACGACAGCAGCCTGCTGGAGGAAAACCCCACCCAGTACCATTTCGAGTACCAAAAATACCGAATTCAGTAGCATTACCACCGCCACCCCCGAAAGGGTTAATGACGTTATTAATGCCGATGTTCGTCGTTATGTTAGTAGTCCTTAATCCGGCACCGGATGGACCGCAGTTTCCCGATTCGCATTCCGTCTCGTATTCCGTAATGATCTGATGCCTGTGCCTGGTTCTTTTCGTGCAGTAGCCGCATTTTTTCTCGCAATCGAGATCCAAGTGATGTTCGCACTTTTTTAGACACGTTTCCAGACAATGGGCGGAATCTGTAGAAGTTTTATCGTTTACAATAGTAAGAGGCACAATTTCCTTCGTAACGCGAATAAATGTAACAGAAAAACGGGGTAATACGGGGCATATAATTAAGCATAATTAACTGTACAACAATAAAGCCCGTCACGATATATTTGTATCACGTTTATATTTATCCGTCGTACTCGTATATATATATATATACTTGAAACTCGCGCTAACGATCAACCAACGTGTTGCGTAACTGCGTCTGTTACGTTAATAAAAGATCCAGTAATTTTAATTTAATGCAACGGTTTATCTTTCTCAAGCGATCGTGCAACAGCTGCAGTTGCATAATATGTCTGAACGACGGAGCGCTTCCGAGCGTCCACGCGAATTTCCCGTGTTTATCCCGATTGTTATAGCGATTGATGATCTACCAGTTTCCGGCCCGTCTCCGTGATTCGTGTGCTGACCGTGTCTCTTCGGCCTCATTAAACACTTTACGTATTTCTTGTAGTCCGGATTCCGGCATTCATCGTACACCTTCTGCTGCTGATCCTCGGTGCCGATGATCGGTGCCTCGGTGGCTCTGCCGGCCTCGGCATTCCTTTCGGCGTGCGCCAACAGCGTGGTCAGACCGACGACGACGAGAAGATACGCGGCGAGCAAATGCGTCACTTCCATAGCGCCGGGTACTTCCCAACGGAGTAATCGGGCGGGATGAGCGACAACCCTTTATACCTTAAGCCGCTTACCCGGGGCTGCGGGGTTAACGACCGTTACCGACATTTGCGCTGTCAAAGTCTTAGTTGGAAATGTTTGCGCCGCACGCCCTCGTAAAGATACGCACTCGTCGGCTAATATATTAACGCGTAAATTGTTATCTGCCTCTTGGCAACGGAGTGCAACGTTAAATTTGCACTGCTTATCGCGAATACCGGCCGCTGCGGGGCTGTCGTCTCCGCTGTCCTCTCCGAAAGTCGCGATACGCGCGGCGCGGCGCGGCGTAACGAAGGCAGGGGGTTGCAAACTGCTAAAACACACTTTCGTAATGATAATATTGGCGCCATCCGCAGACGTGATGTTCTCACACACGGCTGCAATCGTTAGATATAGTTGAACAAACATTGGGTACGGTCAATGCGACGCTACAAAAATGCTTTGAAGCGTTTTTTTTTAATTGCTCAGTGCGTAAAATTCTTTCTTCCAAATTGATCCATCCAGAGACGCTTCGAAGCATCTGTAGCGGGACTTTGGCACACATCCATTGGCAATACAAAGAAATAGATAAAAGACCGGAGGATTTTCTACCTTTCACATCGGTGCGTTTCAAATAAATTAGCGTTCAACGCATCTTTATTTTTTAGTTGTTCGCGCTAAGACATCTTGACTTGCACCTTTCTTCCTCGTAATTCTTCTCTCGAGCGTTATCTCATACAACTCGTTTGTTCCGCAAACACATTTATTCAAAACGTGTCATCGCATCGCGCTCAAAGAAATCATGGTTGGTGTTAATCGTGATTTGATACAACGTGAATTGCTCGCGGAATGCTCGCTTTATTACGATCGAGCGAAATTAAATAATTCTGCAAATATACACCACCGCCTTAATTAAGAATTTTGAATGTAATATTTCAAAAATAAATAGTCCGTCTCCCAGTTGCAAATATCGAGCGATGAAATAACTACTTCGAATAGGTCAGCGACACTTTTGCTCTTATCATAATCTTCTGGAAATTATAGAGCAGGAAAATCGTTTTTATTTACATTACTCATCGATAAAGTCGCGCGCGAATAAATACGCTTTTGGAATTTTAATATTTATCCTTGCATTCTTGGGAACGAACCTGATTATTTGAACAACCTGATTGCAGCGTGAAAATTCCATTATCAATTTGATTCTGTTTACGTACTCCATTTTTTCGGTCTGATTCGACGCTTTAGTACAGTTATTTACTGTACTTACATTCGTGGCGATCATTGTGAACCGCTTTAATAGGTCATACGATTATAAAATCTTTCACGCTCGTATCCACGTACGTGATTTATCGCGATTTATAAGGTCTCTTCCGGTCATGGAAGTCTCCATTCAAGGGAGAGTACCGCTACCAGTTACATATACAAAGCTGTTGACGAAAGGCTCATTAAAGGGTGGCGACAAAGTAGGAATTAGTTCACTCAATCTTTGACACGGCGATCGTCTCTTCGGTACTCCGAATTCTTTTATCATTAAATGACACCAGTACTGATGCCAAGCAAAGCACAAGTCATCGTAACATCAAAATCATGTCAAAATGACTCCAGAATTCATTATTAATTATCACTTTTCAGCCAGTAACGATTTTAATGCCATTTTAACGTTATCGTGACTTGTTGTTCCGCTTGAGAGACGACGCTCGAAGTGTACCGTGTACATTCGCGTAACTTCGAAGATTACGGTTTACTAACAATAAGATACAATATGGTCTTCGAACAAATATACGTACATATCGCAGGCATTCCGTTTAACAGCGATTTCAACCGAACTAGAGACAGGTGAGGTCCGATGCGGACTTTCTAAACGCCCTGTATACAAACGGCTTCCCCATCGATGGTAGGGGGACAGCAGGTCTCGCTCTCTCTCTCTCTCTCTCTCTCTCTCTTGAACGTACTGGCGGCTCCATCCGTGTGTTCGAGACGTACAATGGCCGCCGTGTGAGTCGACGTGCTGCGTGCCTCAAGTATTAATCGTCCTCAATTTTCCCGACTTAATTTGCCGGCTGAGAAACGCCCACGAAAAAAAAAAAAAAAAAAATGCGCGACGCCCCGCCGCGATGGTACCATTCGGCGAGAGTCCGTGCGACAGCGAACTCCGATGGACGACGCCCGCGTCCTGACGGACCATCATCATCGTCGTCATCACCATCATCGCGTGTGTCGTTGACGCTTCTTGACGAAAACACAGTGGCCGGTAGAACGCGACTGATCGGGCGCATCACATCGTCGCAAAACAGTTGTTAAACTCTCACGAAGAGAGACCCTGACGATCGAAGTGAACGTTTCTACGTTGCGTCCGTTCTCTCCCTTGATATTCAGTGTCGTGAAGTATCAATCACACTAGACTGGTGTATGTGGTGTTGTGTTACGCACATGCTGCTCCGCTTTAGGAAGGTAATTAAATACTTCTGTAAAATACCTTTTGATGTTGGATCTTTAAAGATCGTAAGAATCAAATATATATGTATATGTAGAAGAGATCTAGGTACTTTGTTGTTTTTTTTTTTTTCTTTCGCGGAGTAAGACCGTATTATTTTCGAAAATAATCGGCTTCCCGATATTTTGTACACCGAAAAAAGGATTTGATAATAGTATCTGTTATTAAATGTTTCGGTGAAGTAGTGTCGACTAAATACTGACAGTTACTAAATAATTTAGTTAAGTAAACGAAATAGTAAACAAATTAGTTCAATAAATGAAATTTTATTCAAGTCTACTACAAATTTAGTTCATTCAAATCAAACATTAGTAATTATTACTAAATTTTAATGGCATTAAATAAAATATATCGCAAGTATTATCAAATATAATAATACTTGCGATATATTTTGTCAAATTGCGATTGTGAAAAAAAAGATATTTGATAACTGTTGTAAAATTTTTGTTGAAAATAATAAATTATTTAGTAATAAAAGCTGATAAAACATTTGATTACTACAACCATACTTAATTGAAAAGATAAGCAATTTTATTAGTATTACTGAATTGATTAAAATAATAAATATATTTGACTTATTATTAAATATTTAATTAAAAAATATCTTTAAAACAAAAAAATAGATTATACAATTTTTAATATTTGAAATTATACTGTATTTTATTAAGTTTTTAAAATATCTTATTTATTATTACTTATCTTTATTACTTATTTTTTAATAACTTTAAATATCGAACATTCAAACGAAATATCATCCTTCATCTAAAATGTGGAAATAACATATTTCGATATCATATGCTTTCAAAATGTCAACTATGTGTATTCTATATTAACTATTTTCCTGTACAATTCAACTTCATAAACTTAAAAATGAATTTCTGAAACCTAAAGTAATACATTTGTGCCATAAATAATGCAAACAATTTCTGTTTTCTTTAAAATTATGTTATATATTTTATTATTCTGAATGATAAATTATTTTCAGCATTAGAAACTATCACATATCGCAATTTGAATATTTATATATATTATTGTATCGAATCCATAAAATTATTAAGGTACAATCGTCTATTTCAGATACACTGGTGAAAAAAGGTGATTTAAAAAGATTCGTCATGAAAAGCATTTCTCCATAAATCAATGCGCATTCGTGTTACTTTATACAATATTTGAATAATTATTTTCTCTAGATTTTATGTATTATATAATAATTAAATAAACTGAATTACGTATATTTGCCGAAAATTAAATTAAATGATTTAGCAATATTTATTAAACATTTTATTATAATTTAAATATTATTGATATATATTAAATATTTGATAAATTATCACCAAATTGTTTAGTTGATTCAATTATGGACTAAAATTGTTAAATAATAAGCTAATAAAAATATTTGATAGCTATTATCAAATATAATAATAGTAAACCAATATTTAGCAAATATCCATAATTAAATGTATTTGGTAACTGTGACTAATCAATTTTTTCAATGTAAAATGTAAAAAATCTTATGATCGAAGTCCAAATAGTTAGTTTCAAAAATATGACTGAAGAGTTCTGCATAAAGATTTGTTCAAAATCATTTATACGTAGATAATCCAATCAGATTAATATATATATTACAATATTAATTTATAATATCATCATGTAATATTTCTTGCTTAAGCTTTTTTCAGAGGTGTTTAGGCTTTTAAAAATTTACGAACATATTCAATAGCACACAGTTCTACGAAAAAAAGTGAAATCACTGAATTATACGCGCATTGAATCATATGCTCATCATTATATATACACTTTAACGTTACTTTTCCTGGTATGGTTAAATAATAGATTATTCCGATAGACAGACAGAGAGAGAGAGAAAGAGAGAGAGAGAAAGAGAGAGATAGCGACTTACGTCGCTGTAAAAGAATGCTATAATTAGCGAATCGGTTAAACTCCTTTTGTAAGCTTAAATTACTGTGTTTGTAACTTGCATTCGCTATTCAAAGTTTCATTGTCACAAGAATATATAACTCGTTTTAAAAACAAATTCAAACTCGCGTGTGTAGTCGAATAAATTTCATTGTTTGAAAGTAATATGCCTTCAAAGTTGTTTCGAATTATTCGACCGTGGAAAGAACGCTTTCGTTTTTTTTTTTTTTTATGGAGAAATCTTATCGCTTGAGTACAGGGAATACGTAGGAAAAGTGTTGCAAATTGAGAAAGTCGCATATATTTACGCAAAAACTCGCTGATCTATAATTATAACGTTAGCAATTTAAGCGGAATGGTATTTGGAGCAACTGTCAGGAATTTTACTGATATAATATACAGTTACTTAATTAAGTGTTAAAATCAATGACTGTTAACTTTTTATGATTTGTTAATTTATTTAAAAAGTGGACCTGAACATGAAACTTTTCATATACGAGTAATTAAATAAATTTCATTGAGCATAGATACTTTTTATTTATATTTCGTTCAGAAAATTATAAGGAAAATCTATTGAAAAGACAATGTGAATATTATAACTGTTATTTAGATACATAAAATTTAAACACACATTAATTATATCATCGAATTATATTATTCATTTCATAGGCAGCAAATAGGAACTAGCAGCCATGCTGGAGCTATGACAGTCGTGTATTCGGCTGTTTGAAAATCGGCTATACTGATGTATTTATGATTCGGCCGCGGGTCTCGAAGAAGAAACGATGGCAACGGAGGAAAAGGAGATTCCAGTGGGGTCTCCTTGGTACGGCAAGGTTTTCGAGTGTTGGAGGAATCGGAATCGAGTCAGTCCCGGCAGAATCGAGTTGCCCGACTGCGATTTTTTTATCGTAGCACCGCGGCGCACGCTGCGCGTTCTGAGGCCGACCCTGAAGAGCGGCTGGTATTATGAGACGGCGGTTGACCGGCCGGAGTCGGTCAACGACAATTTCTTTAATCGGTGGACCAGAAGACCGCATCCGTCCGGAAATTGCAGGTGCTCTTTCCGCCAGTCCGCCAGCGCGTTGAGCACCACCGAAGAGCAAATAATATCCGCGGAATTGAATCACATCCGAACAAGTCTCTGCGAGGCCGAGAAGAACGCGCGTGGAATCGAAGAATTGGAGCAAAGGGTCTCCGTGAATCTGCAAAAGTTACGGGACGATTCGGAACTTTCCGACTGCGCAAACGAAACGACGGTGTCTTCGGCATTAATGATTGATCGCCAGCCGTTCGAGCAGAGCGCCAAACAACAAATTGTCAAGGATTTAGAAAGGTAAGTTCATTACATAAACTCAACTGGTACAATGGATAAAAATGAGACGCGAAGAATTTTCCTTAATTATCGTTAAAACATTTTTAATAATGAAATCATAATTAATCCTGAATACTCTATCCTGAAGTGCCTGTTAGTTTTCTTCGTCTTTTTCTACAGTACTTGATTACAGTACAACTTCATTTATTCGAACATGTCATCAGGGGAACAAGACTGTTCCGATAACCGAATGATTCAGATAATAGAGGCTCACTAGCTCTTCCTCCTATCAATTCTTTTTAGTTTCAGTAATAATAGCTGACGTTCAAATTTGTTAAATTCGGAAACTGAAGTCGAGTATGTTGCGCTCTTATTATCTGAATGGATCGGTTAATAAGTGCTTAGCTATGAGTGTATATTTGGAATTGAGTATAAACCTGTTCATATAAATGAAGTGCAAATAAACGTAATCCTACTATATTTGATAAGTTAAGAAGCATTATATTAGATGTAGGTATATAAAAACAAAAGAAAATAAATTTTATAGGTATATCAATACACTTTTGGAAGAGGTACTTGATGATACCGTTAAGAATATAACTAGTGTGGAGAAAGATAATGTTCAACATTCTTGGCAGCGAACGAAAAATAATTTGATAAAATCACAGTCCGATAAATCCAAAGAGAAAATTTCGATAAAGAAAGACGGAGATGACTCCTTTATCGATAATCCTCGTCTTCTAGAAGATAAGACGCAGGAGGAATGGATTACAGAAAACGAACGTAAAAATCAATTCGCCAGAGTTTCGATAAGCGAGGGTTATGTGAATCCCGCTTTCGTTGGCTCGACTGATAAACTAGCTTCTCTAGATTTCGATTGTTCTGCAAGAAAACACAGTAAGCGATATATTTAAGAAAAAAATAAGATTATTTTATTATTTCATTAATAAAAGAATTTCTATAGATATTCATTTTACACAATAAAACCTTTTCACTACTGTTGTACTATTTTTGGGATAGCAGGTTTATACCTTGGAATACCAACGGAAAGAATTCCTTCGGAAAAATTGGATTGTGTAGATTCTGGAATAAATAGCGTAGAAACCATCGAGTTTCAATTACCTGATCAAGAACCCAGCTTTGAGCAGTCTCTTTTACGAATCATTGATGAGAAGTTGGGAAGAGGTTCTTCAATGAATAACTCGGAAGAAGATAGTCTCGAAAAAAATTTGCAAAAAGCGGTTCCAGTAGAGGGAGAACGTGGGATTGACTTTCAAGAGATTGAATTAATTTCGTCTAAACTTGAGACATCATCGACAGATCCTGATTGGAAAGTGGAGCGACTGGAAGATACTGCTAACGTGGATTGTAATTTCGAGAAACTACGCTTAGAATTCCAAAGCAACGACAGAGATTCATCTCCAAATGGCAAGACTCTATTAAAGATTGATGTAAAATTAACGGAAAGTTCTCCTATTGAGCTCAAAGATTACAAGAAGAAATGGATCGAATTCGATGAAATCTCTTCGCAGGAAAATACCAAATTAAGTCTCCGCGATTCGGTAACGCTTCGAAGAAATAAAAAACCAACTATAGTTTTTCTACACGGTTTTGGTTCCTCGGCAGAAGTCTTCGAGCATCAATTACGGTATTTCTCTTCTCTCGGTTATCCTTGCATTGCTCCCGATATGCTCGGGCACGGTATGAGCTCAGCGCCCAGACGTCCTAGAGATTATCATTTCAGCAAATTACTCAAGGATTTGGACGCTGTTCTACACTATTACGCTTTTAAACCTGGGGAGAAGTGCGTCTTAGTCGCACATAATTACGGGTAAGATATTGTTTGCTTAAAACTGTACAATTGTAAAATATTCTTTTTTACTTTTCCATAATTTGTCTCGAACAATTACTTTTGTAAAAAAAAAAGTTTCATTATATTAGATTTATATTATATTTTTATATTAAATTTATTAGATATTTTTTTTATATTTTAGCAATATTAATAAAATTGCACTGTAAAAAATAAAATGTTAATAAAGATATTTTTTAACATTTTTATGTTAATTTTAATATTTTTGCATGTCTCAGAAAGCCTACTATACGTTTTTAAGTTAAAATTAACATTTTATTTTTTTACAGTATGATATCTGCGAACATTTTGTATAAATTTCAGGTGCAGTTTTGCTACAGCATTAGCTTGTAAATATGATAATAATATTCATCAACTTGTGCTAATATCGGGCGGTGGTCCGACTCCTCTTGCTCCACCGAGCACAGAATGCGCGGGTCATTGTTGTCTCAGGGCGATTCTCGCGCCTCTGCTGATGTGCGGTTTTCATCGAGATATTCTCTATTCCGCGCGAGGCCGACAGCATCCTTATTGCGGTCAAGAATCGATGAAACAGTGGCCTTCGCACATGAAATACGTATTGAAAGGCATGAATTGGCCGCAGGGTGACTATGCCTTCCACAGGAAGGTATGCACACCAACGCTTCTAATACATGGACTAAGAGACAATAAAGTGTCGTTAGTACAAGAATGTCAAATGGAAAGGGTAAGTTCATATCATGTGATCTATCATCCAATTAAATATTATATATATAAATAAAATATATATTATCTAAAATATAAATATAGAAGTTATATACATAT